ACGCCAGCCCGCCTGGACATCAGATGTGGCACACGGCCAGGACACAAGCATGGTGTCATCTAGCGCGCCAGCCACCTCCTCGATCTGCTCACGGTCAAGGCACTGCAGGCGCAACTTGGGCTTTGCTAGCGCGTGGAACCACATAGCCAGCCAGGGCCGCAACCAGCGGAGCCCCGCTGTGAACCAGCAAAGACGGCCCACAAGCTTGCGAAGGTCTCGGCGATTGATACTGGCGCCAGGTGAACGCAGCGGCTGCAACACGGCTAGCAGCACAGCACGCTTATCCAAAGGTAGCGTAGCCACTGGCCGCCTCCCCAGGCAGATATCCCAGCCGATCCACCGCAGCGAGTCTGCCAGCTGCAACTTTCTCCAGGAGATTGGAACTCCCATGGACGTCGCCAGCATGATGCACAGACAAGCCAAGAACGGCGCTCGATGTCGAGGAAACAACGCCAAGAGGTCATCAACATATATAACCAAAAAATGACTGTCATGAAGAAGAACATGTGCGCAGCGCACAAAAGCGCCAGCCGCACGGGCCCACCAATAGCCCGCCCAGGAAGCCCCAAAATGCGCCGTGTTATACACGAACCAGTGCTTGCGGCCCTGCTTGTCAACTGCCACAAAAATTGAAAACCCTCGTTCGGCCGGATCGATCCTGATCCGCTTATGAGCCTTAGCCACATCCAACGAGAAGGCCGTCCAGGCCTCATCTTGGTACCGAGACAGGAACTCGGACACGTCAAAGAGTGAGGGCAGCTCGACTTTCTCCAGAATACGGCACAGCAGGTTCGCATTGGAGACAGAACTGTCGCCAACAAGTCGCGGATCCGAACCCTCCTTTTTCACAACGCCCAACTTGCCTGCCGCGCACTTGGCACCAAACCGCGCTTTTGCTTCCGGAAAGCCGCCCGGCAGCCATTCTGCGAACCCGGCATCGATGTCGGCTTGGACCAGACGCATAAGACAGTCTGAATCATCCGTGGCAGAGGCCCAGGGCTCATCATGCACCAACAATTCCAGGCAAGGTCGCTCAGGCCGGTCTACGGGATGCCACACTCCCGAAGCAGGGATATCCGACAGGATACCTGTAGGCACCCCCTTTTGTAATATGTCTGGCAAGTCGGCATCGCAATCCTGCAGATACCCAAGCAATGCGTCCCAGATGCCAAGCGTAAAAGGCTGGCCTTCCGCAACGCGAGCAGTGCACTGCCAACCTCTGCTTCTCAGAAAGGCCACAACGTCCTGCCGAAGGACATCTACCTCATCGTCACGCAGCAGAGGAAGCGGCTCTGCTTGGGTCACATGGGCCAACAAGCGGGGGACCAGGCCCCACTCCGCAATGCGCTCCATCCAAAACCGTCGCAACTCCCACAAGAAGTCGGAACTGCGCGGGGACATCCAATCCGCATCTGACCAAACGCCGCCACCATCCTTCAAACGGAACCGACTACCTGGACAACTACTAGAGTTACTAGGGACACCAGCATGGTGGCGCTCGCTTTCCGCAGTGTGCTTTCCGTCAGGGTATGACGGCGGTGCGATGCACCCATGAACCTGACTGGAACGCAACGCTGAATCCACTGGCCCAGCCTCATCCAGTGGCCCAGAATGACCCCGTCAATGCTGGCGGGGGCACACCGCTGCATGGTGCGACTTGTCCCCGCACACGGCGCACTCGTGTTTGAACCGACACATCTTCGAGGAGCACTTTCCATCAACCCAATCCCAGCACTCGCCATTTCGCAAGCGCTTGCCCGGCGCTCGAGGCGCCTCGGACGGGCGACGCTTGCCATTGCCAAGCCCTGGACGGCGGGGAAGAGGCGGCAATGGTGATGGGGGCAGCGGTACCTTTTCCACCTTGCCGGCTTTAGGGCGCTCCACCAAAACATGACGCAACATATCTCTGTCTACCACCACGTGCGCTAAAGCATCGCTCAAGGAATGACCCGAGAAGCACAACTGGAACACCTCCTCCAATACGGAGCGGTCAGCAGCTTCTGCCTCCAGAACAGTGGGGGGGCGAAAGTTCTCCATCGGCTTCTTGGCATACAGGTGCATAAACTTCTTGACGTACACAGTCCAAGAGTGTAAATGACAGGCATCTACCATAGCAAAGGCATGCGCCCTGGTCTCCAAAGTGTGCTGCACCCGCAAGGCAGCCCCAACCAAGTCAAGGTCCCACTCATCCGGTTGGGAGTCGGGAGTGGCGCGGCTGCGCCGTGCCTTTACCTCCAAGAGCTGTTCCTCACTCAAGATGCGCCGCCAAGGCAACCACTCCCAGAGCTTATCCTGTTTCTGCTGATGGATGGCTTGCAGGTAGCATAGGGCCGGCATCGTCTCGGCAGTCACCACCACGGAGGTGTAGTCTGCTTCGAGTTTTCGCCGAAGTCTTTCCCGATCGCTGGGAGTCAATCGGGAGGCACTTTGCACTGGCATCAAAGCAAGTGAAGCAGTCGAGACACCCCCGTCTGGACCCCGTGGCTGAAGTGCTAGCAGAGGAAGCTTTTGGCATTTCTTCCAAAAGACACGCAGTCTGGCTGCAACAGGGTGTGTGGCCCACTCAACGTCATCTAAACGCTCCAACTCGGTATCCCCCGCCTTGCTCCGCAGCTTCACCAGCCAAGACTCAAACGCTGCTTGATCCACAAATGCGCCACAAAACAGCTCCTCGGAGTCGTAACCAAGCTTCACCACCAAATCCGCCATCTTCTCAGACACGCCAGCGTCCACCATCTGCTTCTTCCACACGGTCATAGGGCCGAAGCAAAAGCAAGAAAGATTGCGTAAAGCAGGCAATTCAATGAGACTTGCAAAAGTCAAACGCTGACCCAAATGCCAACACGCCATGAGGACGCAAGCCGCATCGCCATCCAAACCACCATGGGATAAATACCACAGAATCGGTAGATCGTACGAAGACGCAATCAACGCGAAGCACGAAATAATAGACATCCCACTTGAGGGCACCAAGCAGGCGCCCAAAGCGCGCACCCAGCATCAGCTGGCCACCGCAACGCACCCAAAGTGTGAGCGGCCCCGTCAGTAGCGAACCCAAAACCACCAGCGCCCACTCTGGAGCCAAAGCCAACCCTTCTAGGTTGGACAACTGCGACGGCAGTCCCCAAGAAAAGAGGCCAACTCAGGGCCGTGACACAGACGCGGCCGTCAGCTCACACACACCCGAAGCATGCGCTGTGATGGCACGGGCTAAAGCCCTCCATGCCTGGATCCTTTGTGCGGACTTCGTAGCGATCCCCAAGCTCACCGCCCGGTCGACACGCCTTGCCGTACTGCGCTTCCTCAGATGCTGCTGCACGCGTGGAGGGCTCGCGACGCACCGCGCGATGATACCAGCCACTTACTAGGTTCAAAATCCAAGGGCCCGCCTCAAGCAGCACTTCATTCTCGGCATCTGAGGCAGCGGAAAGAGCATCGCTTTGCACACTATCTGTATCCAGTTCATCACAGTCCGCGGCCAGCATGCTCGACGCATCGGAGCCGTCATCTTCATCTTCTGTCTCTGTGTCAGACTCCATCTCTCCCGGCTCACACCGCTGCACCAGCAAGGCGCCCGGATCCTTTTCTGGCACGGCCACTATCCCACGGGCCAACGCTGTGCACGGCACCCAGCCTGCACGCACGGCCTTAATCACCGACCGCTGGCAGCGAAGTGCAGGTAGGACATCATCTCTGCGGTACTTTTCCACGCACCCAGAGGAATTGCGCAAGCGATGGTGTCCTTGGGCTGCCCGCTCCTCAACTCCCACTTGCAGCTGCAGGCCCCAGGTCAGCAGTGTAGTTTTCAGGCTGTGGAGCGTGAATTTGCGTGCGTCCTCAACAGTCAAGGATGTATACTTAACAAGACAGCGCCGGAAATGCGCAAGTGCAGTAGAGTAGGGCATTGGCCCTTTCTCATAGCCCAGCAGGAAGTCGCGATCAGGGGACTCCGTGTGAACGTCCAGCAGTGCCTCGCCGAGCTGTTGTGCCCAGTCATTGCCAGTGGCACCCGCCAACTGGCAGCCCCAGGCAAATCCAGTCGGGCAGGTTTTACTCCTCCAGCACCACCCCCGTAGGGAGCCACCCGCACGCAGAATCGAAGATAGGTCAATGCGCTGTGCGTCTGAAAAACGTAACCCAGCCCACAGCATGACAAGGAAGCAGCCAACAAGAAACCGATCTGCAGCCTCCTCGCCTATCAGTGCAGCCTGCTCGAGTTCACATACGGCAAACAAGGGGAGGGGCAGGGCCTCTGAAGGTGCGCGACGCTGCCACTTCTGCGCAGATAACCAAGATATCACAACTGGCCCGCGGAGAATCCCATCCAGTGCTTCAAGAAGCAGCTTGTGCGCGATGAAGCGCAGGGCGTAAATCACACCGCGCGCCGCTCCCGATCTTCGGGCGCCACGATCGCTGCTAGCACCCTCGGCCAGCGCCTCCAAGAAATCAAGGACATCAGGGCACGAAGGGCGACCTGCCTGCACGCCAGAAGCTCGGCAGAAAATAAGCCAGCGCCGCCAGCCGCTCAGGTGCTTCTTCAGCGTGCTGGGGGCACGGTCCTTAAACAGGAACGCCAACCCATTCGCATCAAAACCTTCCAAAGACTGCAAGACCGAGCTGTCATCCCGCACAACTTCAGCCATGTGGACCAAAGACACCGCCAGTTCCTGCCGCTGCGCAGCCTCCCGCTCTGCCATGCTACCCGCGCGAGCTGGAGTCATACATGGGGCTGCAGATGCAATCCGCACGCGAGGCCTTGAGACAGTCGGCTTGCTTGCGGGCTGAGCAACCAACACCGGTTTGATCTCCACGTTTGTGCACGGTGACAGCACAGGCAAACTGCCAATGGCACGCGTGATCGGCCGTGGCCGATCGATACCACGCTCAGCTGTGCACGACACCGCAATAACCCCTACAATAGGGCGCGGCCGGTCGCCTCCTCTGTTAGCTGAGGAATACGGCGACGGCCGCACTTCCAAGGTGAGTGATTGCCGCTGCATGTCGCAAAAGCAACAAAGAAAGCAACAAGGGCACAAACAACCTGAAATCACAGCAAATGACTCAGGCACCAGCAGGCCTGCTGCACCAAGCTTGCAGAACTGGAGCAAACACTACAAGCGCAAGGATGCAGGATGCGCAGATAGCCACGCATGTGAGGCGCTTAAGGGTTTGCCGTGTGCGTCGGCCATTAGCCCCGCCTACCCCGACGCAAACGCCCCGTTCACGCACACGCACGCGCGCGCGCGCGCGCGCACGCGCACGCGCAACGCACGTGCACGCGCACGCGCACGCCACACCAACCACGCACGCAAGCAAACAAACAAGCAAGCAAACATAAGCAAACAAACAGGCGGGGCTGGATTAACGAAGCACACGTGTTGTTGAGCCAAGCCGGATAATTTGCGATAATTTGCGGACCTCTACACCAAACCTACTCTCCGGAACCCCGTATGCACAACACAAGGGAGGGGCGCGCCAACCTTTTGCAGGAAATGCCGGGCAACAGTCAAGAGCCAACTGGCCCATCTAAGCCCCGGCCCCACTACCCAGCTGCTCAGCAACCAGGGTGGGTGGGCGGGAAAACGCAAGGCAAACTCTGCAGACAAGACTGCAGTGTGACCAAACCGACAGTACACAGGCTCAGCTGTTCAACTCAACTCGAGCACGCACACATACAATGTACACTGTATGGAGGAGTAGGTGTGGAGAGAGGGCCGGTGTTCTGCCAAACCCAACCGAACCGGGAACACCAACACACGCCGGTCCAACAGGCCTACAACCAGGGAGGGCGGGTGGGACAGACGCTGCTGCAACGCGACCTCACACAAAGCTCGAGCTCCCAACCCACTTTAGGGCGGGCGGGCGGGAAAACGAAAACAACTGGCTGCACAAGCCGTCTACTAGCAGCCCAACGCGGACAACCCAACCAAGATCGGACTGCTGGACAGCTCCTCACACGCAACTATACACAAGGCGCGCGCGCGCGAGATAGAGAGGGCCGCTGTCGCGTGTAGCAACAGCGCAACCTTGTGACCCTGCTGGGTCGTTTGCATCAGGGCAGGTAGGGCGAACGGCCGCTGCACGCGGCGGTGAACCATAGCATCCTACACATGCATCGCAGTGGCTCACAAACACATGAAGCCCAGTAGCTACATATCCTCGACTCGGAACCGACAAGCAACACAATTACACGCGAGTCAAAGCACCGCACATCTCGAAACGCAAGTTCCAGGCCGGATGCTGATCACTAGTGGACGCCGTGACGCCACTTCTTGTCTCTACTGGCCCTACCAAGGCAGAACTCTTGGAAAAGCACAAAAAGCAAACCCGCCTGCGCAATATCCTCGGTACGCCATCGGCGCAGCGCACGATGCGTCAGACTTAGCAACCCAACCAGTCGGACAAGGCGCAGCATAATCCACGCGCCCACACTGCCGACCTATCACAGAGCTTCAAGAAAGTCACGAGCTACATCATGCCTGGGCCAAATAGAACGGCGGACATGGCCGATCTTTGCTGGGCGCTCTTGCTGCTTGGTCCCTTGAGAATTCCTGCACGGCATCACGGGCCGCCTGCTTTGCGAGCTTATCAACTTCCAGCGGAGTCACCTGCAACTTCAGCAACAGGCGCTGATCGCAGCGATCTTCGAGTCAGATCGCACAGGTCAGCCCCACCTTGACTCCTGCCAAAACACACGCCCCGGGCATTGCAGCCCTTCTGACGTTCGACACTTCAAAAAATCACAGAACCGCGCCGCGAAGCAGGGGCTCATGCCAGCCACGCACAGCGACGCACGCTACCAGCAGAAGACAACAGAACATCATCGCAGCAAGGCCAAGTAGCCCAGACTGATGCTGTCACTTTAGCCTCGTGGCCTGAATCTGTTTTCCCACCAACTTCAAGCTAGCGTGAAAGAGAATCGAAGACTCGATAGCTAGCTAGCTGCTCTGAGCGTCGCGTAGTAGTCTAGCACACGCTCAAGCAAAACTGCATGGCGCGATGCTCCGCTGCGCTCCACCGCATGAGCACACTCCTAGTCACTTTCGCTGCGGAAAAGCTGACAGAAATATGCGCAACGCAGGCTTTGGCACGGGGGAAGTTGGTTCACACCCGGCACCAAACTTCACTTCAGACGCACTTGGCGTAAAGGGGCTTGACTCAAACGCTTCACAAATCAGACTCACGCAGTCAACAAGAAGATGCATCGCACACAAGTGACACGACTCACCGCGCGTAGCAGCGCTCAATTTTCCTTTGCAGACGCGGGAAACTCTTCATCCGCTCCTCTTCTCTACTCTACAGGCCTACAAGCAGCCTACGTGCGTAGCCCCGGCTACGCGTCATGACGACACTCGAAGCGAGAACCAAGCGGAAACTTGTACATCGCCTCTCACCCAGCCTGTCCTGCATCAACCATACATGTAGGCGCCCCGCTATTGTTTTGCAAGATGCGGGACACGAACTCTGCCAACAGGCTTCCCTTTTCCCTTCTTCCCAAGCCGCTCAGCAGCAGGGGCGGGAAAGCTGAAATGACTCAGCCTATGAACAAAGTGCAGCACTGAAGCTCCACTGCAGCAGCTGCACATAGCTACACCACTGAGCTGAGCAACCAAGGAACATATGGCTGTGGCTCTAAATAGGGGTATGTCGCGGTGTCCCGCCACCCGCCTGTGTTACATACGTATGTCGCGCCCGTTTCATACGTATGTCACGGGGTTTGTCGCGGCTGTTTCGCGCTGTCTTGACAAAGAGATACGAAACCCACGCAGTTCCAAGAAGGGGCTTGTCGCAAGGGCTTGTCGCGGAGGCTTGTCGCGGAGGTTTGTCGCGGACTGCTTGTTGCAAGCAGAACGGCTTTGTTACAAACCCTATGTCGCGGAAAGATGCCCGGGAGCCAGTTACGCACCTAGACTTTTGAGCCGCGCCCACATAGACTCTAGGGAGTGCTTGACGCATGACGCGACACAGACACACACTTATGATTTCGTCGGTCCCTCGTGCTCCCGCAGCCTACAACGAACCTGAATGGAGTTCAAATACTACGCACACGTAGAGCACACGTAGAGAGCGCATGTCTCTTAGTTCAAGTCGCAAGACTCCCGCCCTACCACCCTTGCAGCCCACCGTGAAACAGCGCACACGCTCAAGCCTTCTTTTGTTCTGCGGGATGCGCAGGAAAACCGATCCACAGCTTGCCTTGTGCCAGCTGTGCTATGTCGACCGAAAACTTCCTTCCTGGAGGCGAGTGGGGCGGTGGCGGGAAGTCGAATACGACCTAGCCTAGCACTCGAAATCTACCAGAAGCCGCTTGCACCTGCTTCGAGCAGTGCAACGGCTACGCGAGCCACAAGCTACAATCAACTACGCGAAAGAAGAACAACGAGACGCTTCATGTGCAAACCGCTACGCTGGCACAGTTATGCGACATGTTGGTGACTTCTGAACGCAGCGCTCAATCCTTCATTTTTCTTTCGCATTCGTAAAGCTGGGGTTCACATCTTGTGCGGCGCACGCCAATAGCACCTTGGCTTTGCCACCGTGCTGCCCTCATCAATCCCTGGGTGGGTCGGGCGGGTCAAAACTTTCTTTCTGGCAGCGTTCCACACTTAGACAGAAGCAAGCTGTTGTAGCACTCGCATTATTATGTACAAACTGCACAGCACACATGCTTTTGGCTCGCACACTTGAGCCTCGAAACGAGCACGCATCACGCTCATGAGGACTGCTCCCGCGCACTCAGGATGTCTGCACAATTCCACAAATTTCACAGACTGCCGACTGCCTCATAAATCGCTATTAGGTTGCACGCTGCACTAACAGCAAGCACACACACACACACAAGTACCATCCCCCAGGCAGCTGCAGCTGGCCACACGGGGCTCACACTTTCGAACCACTGTGCCTTGGACAGGCATAACACTCCTTACTCAAGGGGCGGGCGGGCGGCTTTTCAAAAAAACTGCACTTCCGCTGGTATGATCGCAGCAACACAAAGCTGAACAGCTGAACAAGTCCTCTACACCAAACCTACTCTCTCCAGAACCCCGTGCGCGCAACACAAGGGGGGGGGGGGGGGGCGCGCCAACCTTTTGCAGGAAATGCCGGGCAACAGTCAAGAGCCAACTGGCCCATCTAAGCCCCGACCCCACTACCCAGCTGCTCAGCAACCAGGGTGGGTGGGTGAGACTGCAGTGTGAACAAACCGACAGCGCAACTCGAGCACGCACACACACACACAAAGTACTGTGTAAAGAGGAGTAGGTGTGGAGAGAGGGCCGGTGTTCTGCCAAAACCGGGAACGACAAGTACGACAAGTCTTGCACTCATGTGAACGCGCAGAAGTATCTGCTCCTACACTACCAGCTGCAGGGCAACGGACTCTTTTGCCTCGTCCCAAGCGGCTAGGACGCGTGTGGGTCGGCGCAGGCGGTCGCTTCAGACCCCCTGCCGACCGGGACCCCTGCGCTGCAGGCTTAAATCACCAACAGCGCGATTTCGCCGGGTGGGAGAGGTGGGTGTTTTGCACCGCACTCGGCTTTTTTGGGCTCTGACTGTCTGAGCCACACAACGCTGCTCGTAGGCAAAGATTTCTCACATTAGCGTGCCGACTTGTCCTAACATGCACACGTGCATTACACACCAACACTCCTCAACTCAAACCAGACCCAAACCAACTCATGAAGTACCAGGCGTTCGCAAGTCCGCACACATGTTGCTTTCCACACTGCCAACCAGACCCTAACGACACAGGCTTGACAGTCTACACAAACAATCCTGTCAAACTGTCGCGCAGAAACAAGCAATGAACTACAGCACAAAGCTGCGTGTGCAAGACAAAGCCGGGAGTACTGCCAAACCCAACCCGAGCCGGTACCCCCGACACAGAATGCCCGCCCGACCCACCCCCTACCTTTCTTGCAGGCAGGCACTCCCGACCACATCATGTTCATTGCAGACAAACCTGACTCTTGGGTCCACTCGTAACGTGCACCGAGAACTT